GTCATACCAGGAGGCGGTGGAGAGGGACTCAGAGGTCTTTGCCCACCCAGATGGGCACCAGCCAGGCAGGTGTGCCCTTCGGTCCAGCAGAGCATCTTGTGTCCCCAGTGAGGGGCGGTGTTTAGGAAGGAAAGGACAAGAAGCCACCATCGCTCACTTGGGTGCTGCTGTGGTTGGGTTTTGAACGTACATTTGCGTGTTAGAGAGGAGGAAGACTCTCGTGGAAATCTCAGCAAGCAGGAGCATCCACATTCACAGCAAGCCTGGAGCCCGAGCATCCCAAGCTCAAATCTGTCCCTGCTCCTGGCTCACTGTGTGACCCTAGGTGAGTCCCATCACCTCCAGGAGCCAGAAGTCCCCTAAGCTCTAAAGCAGGAATATGGACACTGACGTTATTCAAACAACACTGTTTCCATAAAGCAGCGCTCCTGGCACATGGCTGGGGGCATTAAATGGCTTCTGTTCTGGTCCTTTTCGTAAGTAGCAATGACTCTAGTTACTAATATAGTTTGTTTATTGTTACCACTTATTATTATTTCATGTGTAGTATCATATTCTGAGAAACAGAGAGCCCAGTTTTGGTTTCCCAGGCACAGGCATGAAGTTGTTTACCTCCCTACCCTGCAGGTGGTAGCACATGTGGACCTGGTAGCTTTGGAGGGGTGGGCTGAAAGGAGAAGCCAGCGCTTTCCTTGTCCTGGAACTCACTGTGAGCTGACTGTTGGGATAATTTTGTACCTCACCTTAGGTGCAGAATGTGGGCTAGGATTCCCTTGGGACTCACAGGTGCTGCGGGCAGAGGTGCCCCTTCCTAGGACAGGAGCGGGAACCTCCCTGAGGAAGGCAATCAGGGAGTGCCCGACTTGCAGGTGGTGAGTCTGACCTATGCTCCCCTTCAGGGTCCAAACCGGCCACACCAGCTGCCATTGTCCTTGCTGGACGTGCAGGCGGCACTTTGATGGAAGAGTTTTGCCACCCTAGTGAGTTGATGCTTCCTTTGCCCAGTTCAAGAGGACATTTACAGAATGGCTTACTTTAGAGGATTTTATCTCTCGGTGGATTGTCCAGGAACACCCAGCCCAATTGCCCTTTCAAAACATCTCATAGGGACAAGAAGGAACCCTAAGTGGCCCTGGTCATGCCTTCTGATGGGATAGAGCCATGGAGGGAGAAAAAGCGACAATTGTCTCCAAGCAGAGACAGTGGATCTGTTATACGAAATATTTGTTTTCAGAGCTGACCAGTATCCCGTTGGCTGGGACAATTGGTGGAACCCCAGTGTCTGGGTATTGCAGACCATGGACACCTAGTCAGAGACAGAGATTTATAGAAAAGAAAAAAAGAAAATCCCTGACCTGTAGCTCTTAGGAAATTTCCGTGGACACATCTGGCTTTCTTTGTCAGGTGGAATTTAAACTTTTGAAAGTTTTTTTCCTTCTGCTTTTTTTTTTTTTTAAGGCTCTGTGAGGCGAGGCGGCCAGGTTTTAGACCTCAGGCCCGGATGGGACCTCCCTCAGGCCAGGCCTTCTCAACCTTTGTCTACCAGCAGCAGGGCCACACACAAAAAGGTGAGAAACAGGGACAAGAGGGAGAGTAGGTCCACAGCAGGCAGGAACTGGGGGCTTTGAGGGGGCAATTTGGACCATGTTTGAGGTTTTCTAGAGTTGTCTGGTCTACCCCAAATCCTGTGCTCAGAGCGTTGTGGGAGTCTGACGAGAACCTGCACCCGGGCCCTCAAACACCCTCCTAGTAGCACAAGGTGTTTTTGTGACTTGTAACAAGCCTGGCCCAGAGTGAGTGCTGGATGGCTATGTTCTGAATTCATAGATTAGACAGAAGTCTCCCGGAGGCTTCCATTTGTGTGTCTGCATGAGCACCCTGCTAGGGCTGCCCCTGGCTGTGGACCTACTAAGGAGAGAGCTCCTGCGGTGTGGGTTTTTCTGAGGGACACGGCTGTGATGTCACCCTCCCTGGGTGATGAGGGTACCCTCCCTTCCTGGTCATCCAAAAAGACTTTGTTAGCAATTGCTATTTGTTTTCAACATAAGGTTTTTTGGTTTTGTTTTTTTTTTTTTTAATTGCTATCTTATCTTTTGTTTTATTTTATTTTTTTAATGTGGGAACCGAACCTCTTAGCTATGGCCCACTATGACTTGTGCTCCTTTTGGGGGCTGTCCTATGGCTTCCAGGGTCTTGGGAAGAAGTGGTAAAACTGAAATCCTGGAACAGAATGAAATCTTGGGACAAGACACAGGAAACACCCAGGTCACAGGTTTACATGTTTTGTTTGTTTGTGGGGTTGTGGGCTCAAAGATAAAAGGCAGCTTGGTCTTGGCATCACATTTGGTGGGAGTCTGGCTTCCGGGATCTCCCCTTTCCCCATGGCCCAGATCCCCCTGTGCACAGATGTCTGGGACTTTGTCCCTGCAGGTCCCGGGGAGGTAACTGAGCAGAGATGTGACCCGCAGAGGCCATGGTTAGCGTCATTAAATAAAGAGGTTGTGTTGGCAAAATGTGCACAGGAGTTACACAAAGTAAAAAGGCCAAACTATATGCATTTTAAGATTCAGTAGGATTTTCCCTTATGATTACAGGATGCATCCATTGCCTGGGCTTTCTGGTACCTGGGTTGGTTTTCCTGTGAACCAGGGGTTTCAGCAGGAATTTCAGATGTCAGGAAGAACATTTAGCTGAAATATTTGCCTGCTGATTTGGGCCTCTTAAATTCAGAAATACCTTTCATGTGTTTAAGAGAGATATTTACATTCAAATCAGGCTTTTATAATTACATTTTAAATTATAATAAAAGGGTGAAGCCAAGGCTGCGGTTCCGTGGTGGGAAGAGCTTTGGTGAGGAGGGCGCGCATCACCCTGATCCGCCTAGGTGATTCTGGCCAGAGGGACTCAGGCACCAGACGGAGTCCCTGGATGTCACCTGTGGAGCCCTCCCACCCCACCGGGAGGAAGCTTGTACCGCACAGGCACAGAGCCTGTGTCCTGAGCCTCCAGAGGCCCAGGGGCCTGCTAGGGCGGCAGCAGGGCCGAGGCTGTCCTGGACACAGCATTGGCTGCCTCTGGTCTTGGAGACACGGCGGGGGTGGGGGAGACACCTCCTCCTGTAGCTGCGAACTGGGCTCTGCCTCCTCTCCTCATCCTGGGCAGGCTTCCAAGGAGCCGCTCATGTTTGGTGGCTTCCCTGGTACTGCGGGCCGGTGGGCAGGCCCCGCTCTGCCAAGCATGGGGGACCTTCTCCTCCTGGGGCTGGGCTCTTGGCAGCCATTGCACACCATAGCTGGCACGAGTCTCCGGTGTTCCTGGTCAAGCGCATGGCATCGGAATCCTACCTGCTTTGTCTGTGGCATCAGCTGGCAAGCAGTCACATGGCCAGTTGTGTGACCAGAGCTGAGGACTCAGGGCTCCTCCCGAGATGTTTCCTTCTTGCTGTCTCATCGCCCTCCGTCCTTGCTTTCGGTGTGGCTCTGAGTGGCCACCAAGCAGTGCTGGAATAAAACACAACCCAGGTAGCTGGAATCTCCCACCCTAAGGTGGGTTTAGACATTGTCTCCCCAGCTGCCCTTTATCTAGCATCACAGACGGAAGGCCCTAAAGTGTCCCAGATATGTGAGCCTCCAGGGGACCAGCCATCCCCTTGGTACGTAGTTGGCCCTGCTGTACCCAGTGTCCCTGAGGTGGTACAGCTGCTGGGGAGCCCCTTTCCATGCCCCAGGCTGTCGTGCGTGAGTCCAGCCAGCATCACACAAAGGGCGAGGTGAGGCCCAGCTGCTTTGATGATCCAGCCTTCGCTGGATACCTACAGGACAGGGTAGCAGGCCTGCTAGACTTCAGAGAACATGCACAGAAATCCCCAGGCCTTCCAGGCCGGGCAGAGGCTACAACACAGGAGAAGGGATTGTCCCCACGGTGTCCACAGTGGTGGCAAGAACCGGTTCTGGTGACCCTGAAGGATTTCTGAGGGTCTAAGAGGATAGGGGTGCCCTCTTCCTTGTCCATGGCTGCCTGGCCTCCTCCAGTATCCTCTTGACCCTGCTGGGCATCGGGATGGTCGAGTGGGTACCAGGCACAGAGCTCAGCACTCTGTTTTTCGTCCTGTGCCCCAACGGCCCTGAATGGTAGGGGCCATTAAGCCCTTTCTTTGTATGGGTGGGGACACTAAGGCCGGAGAAGGTTCTGGCTCACCCGCAGTTAGATGGAAATGGGACACAGGCTAGATTCAAACACGAGGTCCAGACTCCAGGCCACAACAACGACAGCCTCCGTGGGTGGCTTCAAGGGCCATGGCCAGGGAGCAGATGGGATGGGGTCCCCAGGCTCACTCTTGAAGGAGCTAGCCAGGGTGCCGGACACTGCCCAGTCCTCCACCGAGCCTGGCGTGTGAACAATGCGGCCTCTATCCGGGATGAGCCAGGCCGCCTGGATGCCCGGCCCCTCGGAGCAGCGGCAGCATGGCGCCCGGGC